GGACCCGCTGACTTGAACGCGTCCAGCCCCTCCAGAAGCTCTCTAACCCGGTCCTCCCCAACCTGAGGTCTGAAGGCGATCCCCTCGAGTCCGGCTTCTATCACAGCAGGGAAGTCCCGGTCCCTGCACAAGAAAACGGAGGTGAAGAATTGGTTAAAGAGGTCTGCTTTCTCCTCTGACACAACCACCAGATTGCCCAGCGTATCCTGCAGGGGTCCCACATTACCCGGCACCTTCTTCATCCTCCCAATATATTTGAAAAAGGACTTTTTGTTATCCTTATTCATGAAACGTATTTAGAATTAATTTTATTATGATGATAGAGACACTGGTAGGCTTCCAAATTGCTTTATCACAGTAGATATATCAATAAAACATTGCTCAACTGATCACTGTCTCTCTGTCTCTCTCTCTCTATATATATAGTGGTCTTTTGTTTTAATTGTGGAGGAACATGGATTTTGGGGTATTTTACAGAGTGACTGGGATTCTTTTATCTGGGATTTTTCAGTTTTCCACCAGAATTCCTGCTAGGGAGGCCAGTGGCAGGACCCTATCAGAGGAGCCTGCTCAGAGCTGGCATCTTGGACTCAGCTAGCTGTGGCTGACCTCCTGGCCAAATGGGGCCAGGAGAACATGCTTTGACAGCTCAAAGCAGGCCACCACACCAGGAACATCTTCCGGGTGATAGCTACCCAGATGGTTGGGCAGGGGCACACATGGCAGTAGTGCCACACAAAGACTAACTCTGCAGCCACAGCCCACTGGCAGCTGGCCCAGAGGGGCATGACTCTACTAGCTGTGCAGCCCCCATCCAGGTCTGACAGGTGTGCAGCAGCCCCCATTGCCAGACTGCTGCAGTGAGTAGTGGGTGCAGGGAACTCTCAGGGCTGCTTCAGCAGTCCAGCTGGCACAAGGGGTAGTGTCCCCAGGTACCAGTTGGCTAGGCCCCGGGAGCTCCCGAGACCGACTAGCCCTGAGCTACCTGACAGGGCAGCTTTTTGTACTGATGGGGCCAGGACAAGGCAGCTTTTTATACTGCTGGGGACTGCACAGGTGCTGGCCCCTGGCTCTAGCTCCCCCTGGCTGCAGATCTGGGAGGAGCCAGGCAGGGTTATTTTGCCTTAAGTGGCACAATTTGCCACACACCAAAGCGCATGTCTGGGCACGTGCACCAAGGCAAAAACCCCCGGCTCAAATTTGCACTGCTCCTATTTGAACTACTGCAAGCTTGCATGTGTGGACACACCCTTTGAGAAGTTAAGAGATCATGTTACAGATTAGATGAGTCTCCTAGCTTTTGTAATTTATTCTGGGATGCCATCATTCCTCAAATAATTAAAAAGAAAGAGTAAGTAGCTCATAATCATTCACTTAAATACAGCGTTCAAGTTTTAAGTGTTTGGGTCCATTCAGTTTAGTGTTTTTCAACACCTGCTGTGTTAAGTGATAGCAGCCTTTTGGTGGCCACTTTCACCTATGCCACAGCCAGCTAGCTCCCAGACTTCAGAGGGTAATGGCTCCTTGAAGCTACCAGTGCTCAATGCTCATTTCTTTGTTTTGGCCAGACAATGGTGCATGTGTCTTTCTTTACTTCTTGACTTCTTCACAAAAGTGATCATTGCCAAAGGTGCCTCCCAGAGTATATCCATGCAAAATGTCAAGCATGTAATGCCACAAAGTTTCAAGCTCACCTGTGAAAAAATGGGGCCCTTGAAATTATATAAAAAAGGTAATGTGTGAAAGACCAAAAGCAGGCATAAAACAGAGGGTCTGTTTAATCCAGTCCACTGCTGAAATACAGTCTGGAGGTGTTTTTAGATACAAATATAGGAATCAAATATATGTTTGCAACCAGTGGTGCAGTGAGCTCATTGATCTGTTGGGGTGTGGGGAGGTACACCAATGAGGGTGTGCTGACCACAGAAAACTAAAGAGGTTGGGGAGGGAGGAGCACCATTCCACTTACCGCACTCAGCCCCCACCCCCAGATATACAGTTTGGTGCTGCAATGCACTATTCAGCTAGGAGGCAGCCCAGGATTTCCCCTGCCTCTGCAAAGGCTCTGAGGGGGCAGGGGAGCTTTTCTGATCTTTCCACTCACCCTTAACCTTCCCCAGGATACGCTGTTTGGTGCAGTGCTGCTTCCCCAGTAGCAATACAGAGTTTCTCCTGCTGCTGCAAAGGCAGCAGGTGGTGGAGAGGTGCTGTGTTATTTTGCTTGCTCTACTCTCCCCTGCCACCCAGGTGCACTCCCTGGTGCAGCACTGTGCTGCTTGGCTTCTGTACTGGACAAGGGCAGCACAGGGCTGCCCCTGCTGCAGCAAAAGCTCTGGGCAGCAGGAACCCTGACACCCCCTCATATTCAGCACCAGGGGCAGGTGCCCCCTTTGTCCCACCCTAGTTATACTACTGATTGCAACTGAACAGATCCTAGATATAC